GGAAAGAGCTTTTAACTCGATACTTTATAAGAACAGGAAAAAAAATAGCAGAGTAGATTGAGCAAGCAGGTTAATAAAGGGAACATATACAGCTAATTATTTGTATCAGAATAATACACAAGGATGAGTACAGGTTTGGTGATAAGTATCAATTTTTCCTCCCTCGGTAATGGTGTTTCCCTTCATCCAGATGAAGATAAGCCTCTCCCCGGATTATAATCCAGCCTTTTTCCTCCCATACTGTTTTCTTACCTGATGCCACGTCTCTAACCCTGAGACTCAAATCTGTTTAGATTGTAAGCTCCCTGAAGACGGAGGCTGTGTCTCATTCCTTTTTGGGTTCTCGGAGCCCAGGACAGTGCTGGCCCAGTGAATTGATGTACCTCTCAGCTCTGGTTTCCTGTTCACCCAGAACACGTGGCACCTCCTAGAATCAGCTCCCGCACGCTCCCTTCAGGAGGACACGCATGCCTGCTGTCTGCGGTTGACTACTCATAGTTTGACAAAATGGATTTCTAGAACTGTTGCTATTTCTCTGCCTCTGACGCTGGTCAGAAACCCAAAAGGCATTGTGTCTGAGCCTCAGGACCTGCCATGCTCTATGTGTTCACCGCTCAGCACCATGACAGGAGGAATGTGGCTGTAGGACTTCTACCCTGAGTGTTCTACAACATTCCGAATCATGCAGATGCCCCATTTTCTTTGGTACTTGTATGTTTCTAGATAGAAATATCCCACTAGTCCCTGTGTTGAGCTTAGCCAGGCTGGCTGAACTGGTACCAAGCTGTGGGTTTACTTCAGTGGCATTAACATACCAGCTCATGTCGACGAACATTGGAGAACCATGCCAGCAGTCACTTGATACCCATTTACTCTTAGTTTATGCCAACTTCTAACAGCTTTGGTATGTCTAGTTTCTACCTCTCAGCATACCGAAAGCATCACATTGGGTGTGTGCCCACAGGGATACAGACAGCAGAGAGAAGTAACAGCTAATAGCCTGGTAGTAACGGAGGGAACAGATAAAATATGAAAGACAGAAGCAGGGGCTTGAATTTCTGGACCATTTAGTGCATGTTGAGAAGCCAGGGTAGCTTCCAAGATATCCCTCTAATAACTGAGCAGCATGGCTCAATAATCAACGCCCACAATGATGACCCTGAATCCAGAAATCACTCACTATTGTTAACTGACTGATTTGCAATGTGTTTAACATGACAAAATGTATCTACTGTATTTTAGTAATGTTTCCACCTAAAGTGCTGATAGTTTTCCAAGGGAAAGAAAGTTACCTATAGAATTTTGACTTTGCACAGTTGTATATTACCAGACAGTTCTGAGTAGTAAAGGGTGTATGTGTATATGTCTGTGTGTGTGCGTGTGCATATGTGTGTGTGTGAGAGAGAGAGACAGTTGGTGTGTGTGTGCAGTTTATTGCTATTAATATTTTGTATTTTAATATTTGCCTATTTTAACAGAAGCACGTTCTTCAATTTCATTTAAGACTGTGAATAAACCCATTTATTCCATATGATACAAAACCCTCTGGTGAAGTAAGACAGGAAGCGGGGTGCAGTGGCAAGCAAGGGGGTGGATGAGAAGATTCCTTGTCCCTGTGAAGCCTGGTGTTCTAGCGGCTGTGCTGTCCCTCACTGTCCTGAGGGTTCCACGTGTCTCGGGAGTTCAGACTGAACCTTGGGTCTTCGCAGCCCTGTCCTAATCAAAGACTTCTATTCTTCATCCTTATTTTAAATTTTAAAATACTGTTCAGTTTGGGGATGTGTTTTAACGAGAAGTAAAGGGTTAGACAGAGATGGTTCAAATTAGCCCAGGAATTCAGTCACCTCCTTCTCTCTTTCCTGTGAATATTTCAGAAAATGTTTCAGACAGGGTTCCTGTTTTTCTGAAACAACATGTCTTAAGAGAGTTTTATTTAGCATGCTAAGTGGGTAAAAAGAAGTCAGATATTCCAGGAGCAAAGTGAGTGATCAAATTAAATGTGCCTGGAGACCAGAGCCCTCTCAGGAATCAGTGGAGTAATGAGTGCAGGCTGCTGCTGCAACCCTGAGCATCTCTCAGCACTCTGAGCAGCCGTGCACACGATGCTTTTCCTTACATTTAGCCACTGCTGATGGCCTGTCAATTCCAATGAAAAGACTCTGTGTTAGAGAGGTGACAGGAGTTAATGCAGTATCTTTTTCGTCCCTCTTTTCTGTCTATCACTCTGTACCTTAAAGGAACTGATTATGAAAGCATTATGTAAGTATGCAAAATATATTGAAAGAAAAAAATGTTTCAATTATACACATTATATACTGGTAAGAAATGCTTGGCATGTGATGAAATATGACAAGTGGTATTTTTAGTTGCTTTTTTTAGGGGGAAGATAATGCAAAAATATCTGGAATATACACCATTTTCTTTTTCAGCTATTCTAATATTTAGCATATTTATAGCATGCTTTAAAATAAGTAACTAATGCAGTTGTTTAAAAAGTAAATTTATTACTTAAAGATATTTTATCCTTCTTTAGTAGTTAGTTGGTATTCTTTTGGAAAGCTTATGCTAGATCAGTAGTTGTTTTATGATTTTTTTCTTGTTCATGTCCATGGAATTGCTTTCATATTGCATAAGAAGTAATAAGCCATTTTTATTTTTTTAAGACTTTTTAAAAATTATTTTTATTTATTTAAAAATAAAATGTGTTGGATCTCATTGCTATGCGCAGGCTTTCTCTAGTTGTGGCAAGCAGGAGCTACTCTTCCTTGTGATGCACGGGCTTCTCACTGTGGTAGCTTCTCTTGTTGTGGAGCACGGGCTCTAGGCACATGGGCTTCAGTAGTTGCAGCATGCAGGCTCAGTAGTTGTAGCTCATGGGCTTAGTTGCTCCGCGGCATGTGGGATCTTCCTGGGCCAGGGCTCGAACCCCTGTCCCCTGCATTAGCAGGTGGATTCTTAACCACGGTGCCACCAAAGAAGCCCATATAAAAAAAAAAAATTAACGTCTTTATTGGAGTATAGTTGCTTTACAGTGTTGTGTTAGTTTCTGCTGTATAACAAAGTGAATCAGCTGTATGTATACACATATCCCCATGGCCCCTCTCTCTTGCGTCTCCCTCCCACCCTCCATATCCCACCCCTATGAATAAAATATAAGAAATAACCAAGAAATAACCAAGGGTTGGCTCAACTTAAATATTTGAGACCTAAAATTAATGAATTCAAGACTCCTGGAAAATTTTGATTAAAATAAACCCAAGGCAGTTTCAAATGAACCTAAGGAAAACAGTTAAAAAGAAGGTGAATTTTTGGCATTTTAGTCCTTCCCCAAAGAGACAAAACCACATTATCTTTTAAGTAGAATTGCATCAGATGGAGAAATATTCCATAGGAAAGACTCTAACAGTGGTAGAAAGCATCTTGAGTCACTACCATGTAGGTGCAACAACTCACCTTGAGATTTACTCCTTAGCTTTTATTTGGTGTATCATCAAATTATAATTGAACAATGAAGAATTGTCTTTAGAGATTTACATTTTCAAAGGGAAAATCATCTTTATTCTTCTTCAAGCAGCACTGATGCTTGATCTCTTAATGTTAGCCATTTCTGTACAAATAGTTGTAGAGGTGAAAATCACAGGTCACGGAGAACACATTTTGTCCTGTGCTGATACGAAGGAGGCACAGCTGGGTATGGCTTTTTTCTCCCTGAGGTGAAGATGTTATTGTCAATAATTTGAGGAGTAATTAGGAAATAGCAGTGTTCTCTAAAACACTGAATATAGGAGGAACTGACCTTTGTCTTAGAATATAGAGGTAAGTGTTGGTTATTATTGAGGAAATAAGACAGTCTTTCCTGGGAAGATTGTGGAATGTATTATTGCTCTATAGTCTAACACTTTTGTGTGTTTATTGCAATATTTCAAACTGAGGCAAAAGTTTATATTTACATGAGGTAGAAATTTACAAAAGAAAGTTAATACTCCTTTAATTTGTCACATTCTAGAGAAAAGTGATGATCAAAGAAAATATGCTAAATTAGCTACATACTAATTATATGCCTATTTTGTTGCTGTTAAATAAATACATGACCTAAAAAATTAATTCATGAGAGTAGGCTTTACAAGTATATATTTATTGGGTAGCATACTTACTAAAACCTCTTAATTTAGGATAGTTGAAGAATTAATATATATCTCAGGCCCTTAAAGTAACACACACATACAAACACACACCTTTTATTTTCCTTCACATGAGTTTCCTTCAAGTGAAGAAAAACTATTCAATGACTTTGCTTACATGACTCCGTTGCTTCTGTTCTGTTTTAATGGGGTAATCATTTTCTTTGATTTCAGGATCTAGATTTCTCATCACATCCACGGGAGCCTTGTATATTAAAGATGTACAGAATGAAGATGGATTGTATAACTACCGCTGTATCACACGGCACAGATACACCGGGGAGACAAGGCAGAGTAACAGTGCTAGACTTTTTGTGTCAGGTAAAAATTCATCAACACTGAGTTTTCTATCTGTCTCTGTCTTCCTTTGTTAGTGCTCTGGGATGACTCAACCAAAATTGTGGAATTCATGAACGAAATGAAGCCTTCATTTATTTTCCCCAAAATATTTTTAGCAATTTAAGGTTTTTTTTTTAATATAAATTTGTTTATTTATTTATTTATTTTGGGGTGTGTTGGGTCTTCGTTTCTGTGCAAGGGCTTTCTCTAGTTGCGGCGAGCGGGGGTCACTCTTCATCACCGTGCGCGGGCCTCTCGCTATCGCGGCCTCTCTTGTTGCGGAGCACAGGCTCCAGATGCGCAGGCTCAGTAGTTGTGGCTCACGGGCCTAGTTGCTCCGCTGCATGTGGGATCCTCCTAGACCAGGGCTCGAACCCATGTCCCCTGCATTGGCAGGCGGATTCTCAACCACTGCATCACCAGGGAGGCCCAGCAATTTAAGGTTTTTTAAACCAATACCAATACAGTACAATGCAAATATGGATATTTCAAGTGAAATAATTTCACCTTTTATAAAGCTCCAAATTCCTTTGACCCAATATGATTTCTGTTTTGCTGACAATGCCTCCTTGCCCTGTTAGTTGTATGTTATGTCATTGGCAATACCAACCAGCATCATGATGCCTCCTACCCTGCATAGATCTGGAGGAACAGGGCAGGGTCCTATAGAACAGGGATCCCCAGCCCCTGTTAGGAACCGGGCCGCACAGCAGGAGGTGAGTGGTGGGCAAGCGAGCGTAGCTTCATCCGTATTTACAGCTGCTCCCCATTGCTCATGTTATCGCCTGAGCTCTGCCTCCTGTGTGCATTATGGTGAGTTGTATAATTATTTCGTTATATATTATAATGGAATAATCATAGAAATAAAGTGCTTGAACATAGAAATAATGTGCTTGAATCATCCCTAAACCATCCCCCCCCACCCCCTCTGATCCGTGGAAAAATTGTCTTCCATGAAACTGGTCCCTGGTGCCAACTTGTTCCCTGTATCATGTCTAACAATAGTGGGGAAATTATCCACGTCCAAAGTTAAAGAAATAATCACACTCTCTTAACTCCTTCCAGGATTATTCTTGAGTGAAGAAAACCCCAAAGCAAGTTTATTCCACTGGGCTAAATATGTCCATTTTGTGCCTTTTTTTAATGGGATTTGTACTTTGAGAAAATATTGACCTTTTGCAGAATCTTTATAGTTGGCTTGCTATTGGCCCGTCTGTCAAACAAATCAGCAATCCATTCACACGGGGACGCATTAGCACTTCATGCAGCAGTTTAGAAGTGTGAAATGACCATCTTGGTATTAGAAATCAAGTGCAAAATATCTGACCTTTGCCCTTATAGCTTTAGAATGTAAAATCGATCCATGCAGTGAATGTCTATTTTATTTGTCATGATGTTTTGTGCGGGAGACGTGACGGGAAGTTTTTAAACGTTGGGGTAATTAAAACCATGTCACCTGAATACCCACTTACTGCCCTTGATAATGTTCTATCTGGATTCCTCTTCCCCATTCACATCCTTAAAATAGCCAAAGCCCATCTGTCTTTTCAGGTGTAGAACAAACGTAAGTCATAATTAATTGATTTTTCCTCTGAACTTGAAAATACTTTTTTTTTTTAACCTGTTCTTTTTCACGTCAATTGATACTTTATCCCTTGTATTATAGTTATGTCTTGTTGCCTCTTTTAAGGGCAAGAATAATCACTACAGTAAAAATATGCTCACGTTTTTCAAAAATGTAGAGAAAATGAATTAGGAAATGAATGGCATCTGTCATCTATTCCATGGTAGCTTTAATGACAACACAGTGGTCTGCATGTTCAGAATATCTTAGGAATGGTCTTGTTTGCATTGAAGAGGAACTTCTTTATGACAATATTGAGATAAGAAAGGAGCAGTCTCTGGGGGAGGCATGGATCTGGGTATGAGACTGAGCTTAGCAAAAGAAGCAAATAAACATTTCTCCATCGAAAGAACGTGAATTAAGTGATGGTAATCTGGGAGCCCATTTTTCTCTAAAGGGAAACCTAAAAAGAGAGAAAGCCTGAAAAGGTAACCGTGTTTATCTCTACTGTAAATCAGTAAGTACTGATTTTCAAATTTAACTCTCAGAGTGGGAAAGGCAAATTTGCTTTTCTTAATCCCAAGGTTATTTATTTATTTATTTTTAATTTTTTTCTTTAAGCGTGTTTTTTTTTTTTTTTGCAGTACGCGGGCCTCTCACTCCTGTGGCCTCTCCCGTTGCGGAGCACAGGCTCCGGACGCGCAGGCTCAGCGGCCATGGCTCACGGGCCGAGCCGCTCCACGGCATGTGGGATCTTTCCAGACTGGGGCACGAACCCGCGTCCCCTGCATCAACAGGCGGACTCTCAACCACTGCGCCACCAGGGAAGCCCTTTAAGCGTGTTTTGCTGATGTTTCAAAAATAGGCAGCAGGACTCATTAGCATTGGGTCACCATGGAAGTGATGAGCGTCCATGAGATCGCCTCATGAGCATTTGTGCAGATAAGTGAGGAACATCAGAGCAGAATCTAGTGAAGGAATACCGTACACTCAGATGCCAGCAGAAGAGAGGGAATAAAACTGAACATTTGGGGTTAAAGGTGGTATTTGCAAGAAGGGAGAAGTCAACAGAGTCACACATAATCAAAAGGCTCATAAGAGAGTCTGCTGCATGTGGTGAATTACGCTTATGACTTTTTGGTCACAGACATTTTAATAAAGTAGTTGAGGGAGGAGATTGTCAGTGCTAGAAGATGAGAACATAGACACTGAGTGCGGATTATTGTTCTAGAGTTCCAAGCTTTGAAGGCAAAGAGAAATTAATTTTATTTTAAATTAGATTTAAATTCATTTAAAAATGTACACATGGGGTTTGGATCATGGCAGGGGCATGTTAGTAACAAGGTTTTTAATGACTCCAAACTGCTCCTGAAGCCGAAACAGATGCAATAGGATGACAAAAGAAAAAGCACGTGGATGACATCAACAAAACTAGGTGATGGGGATTCCCCAGAAACTCTTAAATGTGGGGCACTATGGACAAACTACGGACAACGATAGGACCGGCGTAAGAAGAGCAGCAGTGTAACATTAGGTGATGGATAGTGAAAGGGGAAGAGTTACTGGGATTACTATATAGTCACAGAACTGCAAAGTTGTCAGCAAATGCTCATCTCCAAAAAGCGGAGGACGGGAACTTCCCTGGTGGCACAGTGGTTAAGAATCCGCCTGCCAATGCAGGGGACACAGGTTCGAGCCCTGGTCTAGGAAGCTCCCACATGCCGCGGAGCAACTAAGCCCGTGCACCACAACTACTGAGCCTGCGCTCTAGAGCCCGTGAGCCACAACTACTGAGCCCACGTGCCACAACTACTGAAGCCCACGCACCTAGAGTCCATGCTCCTCAATAAGAGAAGCCACGGCAATGAGAAGCCCATGTACCACAATGAAGAGAAGCCCCCTCTTGCTGCAACTAGAGAAAGCCTGTGCACAGCAATGAAGACCCAACACAGCCAAAAATAAATTAAAAAAAAAATAGCAGAGGACCATCTCTTGAATGGAAACCTAAAATGTGTCTAAGAATATTCACAACAATTTGATAGACCTACACAAGCTCTGAGTTGAAGCTGAATGCAAAAGGGCCATGATATCACATAGTGTGGTAGTAGCCTAACTCCTTGCAGATCTCAGAAATATTTAACAAATACTACTTTCAGAAGAACAGAAACTCACCCTGAGGGAAACTGCTGGATTTAGGAATCAAATTGAGCCAGAGTGGAACACTAAACAGAGAGAGAAGGCTCAGTAGTATGGGAGGCCCTAGAAGAATTTCATCCTATAAAATACCATAACAGAGGGAAAATTAACTATGTTTATATTATTTTTATTTGGAACTAAGATTTTCAGTGTAACAGAAAAGATAAAAATAGAAAACCAAAGAATTAATAAAATTCATGAAATATCCAATAGAAAGTATCAGTACACACTTGCTGTTTTTTTTAATATGTGATTCCAAGTTCTTTCCTTTTTCAATGGGCAGTGGGCAACCCACAGCAACAAGCACCTCTACCACCTAGATCATAGTCTCCTTTAAATATTATTCCCCAATAACAGGGACCATGTTTCCTTGGAAGAACAATGGATTATTGGTCTGGGACAGGAAACATATAAGATGAGCCTGGAACATAAATGGGGTCTTGTCACAATTGTATGTATGCATCTATATATATATATATATACACACACACACACACACATACATATGTACATATATATACTTACATAATCATTTACATATATACTTACATGTGCACACATACACAGACATTTAATAATAACAAAAGCAATAATAAGAAACTTATTCATCTACTTAGAGGTAACTAAGGCAGGCACCAACTCTTGACTTTGATAATTAGTCATTAAAGATAACAACAAAATTTCTTCCTGTCTTTCTTGTAACTGCTGTATTTCAAGATAACCAAATAACCCTAGTTCAGGGAGAAAAGTTCTTATTTACAGAATAATTACATCTACTGAATGTGAAAGAAAATGGAAATTTTAAAATTGCCATTTTCAACCCTTAATAAAATAACTTAATTCAGACAAACATTATCATCTGAATTTTCTGATCAATTTAGTCTCACTGAGTTTGGGAAAACAACACGTTATATAGATGCAAAGGGAAAGAAAAAAGGTTGAACTTGATCTAGATTATCCATTACAACTAAATTCCAGTTATAAGGAAAATGGCAATAGAGGAACAGGTTAAATGACACCATGAAGAAAGAAATTCAAAATGTGAGATTTCTTGTAAGATAACTCACCTGGTTTCTTCGATGAGTCAAAGATATGAAAGGAAATAGAAGGAGAGTCTTATCTGAATTAAAAGAGAATCAAGAGCCATAACAACTAAGATCACTGGTAAGGGGGTGTGGCCAAGATGGCAGAGTAGGAAGACCCTGAGCTACCTCTTGCTATG